AGCCCAGGAGTTGGAGGTTGCTGTGAGCTGTGATGCTATAGCACTACCCAGGAGGACAGCTTGAGGCTCTGTCTCAAAAAAAAACTCAACTAGGTAGAAACTATATACTGGTTAGTCACAGATTTGGGGAAAGGAAAACTGTGACATTTTTGGTCATCTCTCCATCTTCTGGTGTTGGTTGGCTAATCTGAAGGGTATTCTTATCTGTAACATTTCCTTTTTTCAGTGTTCCTTGGCACTAATAGTGGGTTGGTGGAGGAAATCAAACAAAAGCAGTTGTTCTGTAGTACATGGGTGAGGAAGGAGGAGGTGGTAGTGGTAGTTAAGATGCAGTATTTTTCAGTGTGGATTGGAGAATCTGTGTTTTTTTTTCTGTTTGTTTGTTTGTTTGTTTTTTGAGGCAGCATTCACTCTGTCTCCCTGGACAGAGTGCTGTGGCATCATAGCCCACGGACTATTGGGCTTGAGTAATCCTCTTCTCAGCCTCCCAAATAGCTGGGACTACAGGCATGTGCTGCTATGCCCAGCTAGCTTTTTTTTTTCTATTTTTAGTAGAGATGGGATTTTGTTCTTTCTCAGGCTGGTCTTGAATTCCTGAGCTCAAGCAGTACACCAGCCTTAGCACTTCCTGAGTGCTAGGATTACAGAGGTGAGCCTGGCTCACCTAGCCCAGCTAGGAATCTGATGATTTTTTTTGTTTTGTTTTGTTTTGTTTTTTTAATTGAGACAGAGTCACTTGTCACCAGTGGTAGAGTGCTGTGGTGTCACAGCTCACAGCAACCTCAAACTCTTGGGCTCAAGTGATTCTCTTGCTTCAGCCTCCAGAGTAGTTAGAACTACAGGTGCCTGGCACAAGGCCCAGCAATTTTCTTTCTTTCTTTTTTTTTGTTTAGTGGGCTGGGCTGGGTTCGAACCCACTAGCCCTGGAGCATGTGGCCGGCACCCTAACCACTGAGCTACGGGCACCCCAAGAAATCTGATTTCTAATTCACATGTTCTCTTTAGCGTCACAAGTTTTAGTATTAGGAAAATGTGGACTAAAGCTGAATTTGCCTGTCTTCTACCCAGAATGACTGTTGCCGAGGGAAACGAGATGGAATTAACATCCTTGAGAGAAAACTGAAGAGACGCCTAGAAAGAGAGGGCCTCTCCAGTGAGAGGTGGGATCGAGTTAAAAAAATGCGGACCCCCAAAAAGAAGAAAATCAAACTGAGCCACCCCAAGGACATGAACAATTTCAAGTCAGAGAAAGAGCATAGCTATGACTTAGTTCGTTGTGCCGAAACTCATTCCCTGCCCTCAGATACATCCTATTCTGAGCAGGAAGACTCTGAGGATGAAGATGCCATCTGCCCGGCTGTGAGCTGCCTACAGCCAGAAGGAGATGAGGTCAGTGAAGTTTGGGCCATAGAGGACGTGATTTCCCTTAACTCAGAAACCCTGTAAGCTAGACGTCATCTCGCTTGGTCTTTCTCTTCTGCTTATCTGCTTTGAGCTGATCTGAATGGATTGCTCAGCCCTCCCCCCACTGAATCTCTGCTCTTACCATCGTTCCTGGTCTCCTCCCTTTTCTTGAAGAAACTCTCGTTCTTCCCTTTTTCCTTCTCTTGCTCCTCCAGCTTTCACCGTCCTGGCACTAAGAAGGTGGGAGGGATGCTGATGTCATGCCGTTTGGCTTACTTATCACAGGGCAGCGCTGTCTAATCCCAAAGCACATGACTTGAAGAATGACTTTGACTCGGTTGCTTTGACTAGGGGGGGCCAGATACACTCATTTGGCTTATCTGTTGTGCCAGAGGTCCTGGTGGCCGATAGTGGCAAACGGCCTGAATATCTTGAAGCTGGCCTACCCAATTTTGAATCCATTTTTTTCTTCTGAAAACCCCATCTTCCTGCTCTTTGTAACCAGGTGGACTGGGTCCAGTGTGATGGCAGCTGCAATCAGTGGTTTCATCAGGTCTGTGTTGGTGTCTCCCCAGAGATGGCAGAGAAAGAAGACTACATCTGTGTGCGCTGTACTGTGAAGGACGCACCAAGCCGAAAGTAAAAACACAAAAACAGACACCCCCCTACTTAATGTAATTCAGGACTCCAACCAAGAGGATTTCTTCAAATCTCAGCAAAGCTACAGGACTGGTGTTCAAGCCAGCCTGTAAACGGTGCTATTTCTATTCCTTACGGGATCATTTTTCCAGGACTCTTTGAAAAAAAGAAAAAAGCAACTAAAAAATTTTTTGACACTTTTTGTATTTTTTCCTTAAGAGCTGTTTGTGGTTGTCGAGGTTTCAAAAGCTGACTGTTTTTTGCAGGGGTTTCCACCAATTTGGAAGGCATTGAAGCTTGCACCTTTTCATGTACAGCATTAAAATTTTACCTCTATCTGGGATTTACCGGCTTAAGAGTCCAACTCGCTTGCAGTGCCCAGACAGGCACCAGAAATTCCAGTAAATCCTCATTTGAGGAAGCTCTCCCTTGTTTACTCTGTTACCACATTGGGGAACTTTTTTAAGTTTTTTCACTTTTGGGGTTTTTGTTTGTTTTTTTCTTTATCCACTTTTCTTTTTCCTGGTAGACTAGGTTTATTTATCTGAGCAATAACTTCTATGTTGGTTTCAGTGGCTGGAATTAAAACAAAACAAAACAAACTTCGAACAGTGTGTTGGTGCTTTAGCATTTGGTTGATGTGCAGAACGCAAATGTCTAGTTTCTAGTGTCACTGATGAATTAGTGATGTAGAAAAGAGACTGCTGTAAGTAATTGCCACAGCTGTATTTTGGCTTTCTCCCTCCCCTCCCCTCCCTTCCTCCATCCCTCCCTCCCTCTATCCTTCCCTCCCTATTTTTTTGGTAGCTTGTATCAAATGTCGCAGTTTATATTGTGGAATAAACCCTTGGTCCTATTATAACACTAAATGCTGGTTATTTAGAGCCATTAAACTACAGCTTCTTCTGCTCCTCTACCTTGTGGGCTTGCAGAGTCAGAAGGGGCTGCTTGCTTTTGTTTCTGCCCAGCCAGGCTGCAATAGCAGTGGACATTAGCCTGTAAACAGCATTAGGGGATTCTTCTTTTGTATCCTGCTCTGTTTGGTGGGCCATATGCCTCTAGCCCCCACTAATAAAGAACCCCTTTGTCTTCAAGGACTAGAACCTGTCTTTAAAGCCATGACCTTTTTTAAATAAGCTTTCTCAATGTTGGCAAATCACATCAGTCCTCCTTGTGGAAATGATGCCTTTTTTATATCTGAATTGATAGGGAAACTTGGTTTAGAGTTAAAATGTTGGAAGGATATCTAAGGAAGATTCATCTTTATACAAGTCTGGGCTTAGTATATGGGTTGAGGGGAGACTGGTGAATGACCCAGGCTCTACTTTCCTGGGTTCTTTTCCTATCCCTTTCTAACTCTAGGTATCATTACTGGTTGTGGGTAGCCCATAACTGTTTTCCCTCATTTTTTCTTTAAAGGGCTCAGTTCCGCAGTGGAAAAGGCATTCTGATGAAAAGAACAGACTTTTGCTTACTTTTTCCTATTCTGTTGCTATTATTTGTTTTCCCCACATTCTATAGCCATAAATCTAAACATGGGTAAAACTGGTGAGTCTTTAACAAAATAAAACAACAAAACAACAGCAGTTTGTGATGTAGCAGAGATTTAAATGTACTATCCCCTTTTATGCAATTCAAATAATTAAATCTCTTTACGAATGACTTCTAGTTGTCTGCAGTTTTCCTGCAGTTGTTGTGATGTTTCTCCTTGTCTGATGGGGGTTCTGGGGCTGACAGAGAAGATAGTCTCCAGAGTACAGTCTGGAATATTAGTGTTTTGGCCTTTTTAGTATCCACATTCTTTGAACACCTCACCTCCTGAGATTGGGGCAGGATGCCAGTTGTCCCAGTCTTCGCCTTTATTGAGAAAGTAAACTTAAAAGGCTGTTAGAATAAAGCCTTTGCCTTTAGAGAGCTTTGGCCCATCTGTAAACAAACCCACTTCTCCCCCATCCCTGACGGTTTTTCTTCTTCACCTGTAGGGTGTACACAATCCCTGACAATAGCATAGCATCCTTGCTGAGGTGTAAGATCTATGTATCTATGAGTAAGGGGATCAGAGAGTGTGTGTGTGTATGTGTGTGCGTGTGTGTGTGTGTGCGCGCGTGTACCACCCTCTCACCAGGTGAGAACCACTGATCTTTTTATATGTAATGAGCCTGAGAGTGTCAGTTGCCCAGAATTATATACTGCTAGTAAATAACAATGCCTGGGTTTTGCCTTCCAGTGTTCTCCTACTTTGTACACTATCAGACACTAAAAATGACCACATGAGCACAGTTACCTTCCAGTTTATTCTGTTTTTGTACCCAAAGTGACTACAAATGGATGTTATCTAAAAGCAATGTAACCATGTTTCATTGTGTGTTAGCTGTGAAGCTGGCCTGTACCTTGGAGAAACGTCTGAAGTTGTGGGGAAAGAAGATAAATACACACAAAGTAACACTTCAGTTTCCATGTCAATAGTCCTGCAGCTACATGAGGTGGGGGAGGGGTAAGCCAGGAGAGTTAGTGCATGTGGAAAGATCTGTCGAACGCAGCACCAAAGGGTAGATGAGGAATGTCCCCGTCCAACCTCAGTGACGTTAGTTGTGTTTGGTTTTTCTTTTCAGATCAGACTCAGGGTGGAGGCGGGGGCTGGGGTGGTTATATAGAATGGAAGGTTTGCTTTATGTCTCCTCTAACCTGGAGAAAGATTGTGTAATTTGGAGTAGGTGTAAAGGAGGTTAGCTTCTTCACAGCTTTATTACAGCATCCTGGGAGATGGGACTCATTTGTCTATCTCAAGCTCAACCTAAAGCAGAGCTGTCACTTGCACAGGTGGAGGATGGTAAAAACTTCAGTTTCCCAGTTTCATTCTGCCATGCAGAGCCTAAGAAAGTAAGACACAAAAATCTTGAGGCTTTGGATTTTATAACTTCTGGCAGAAGTGTCTGAGATGTACTTAATTTGCTGTTATACCCACTATAAAGTACAACATGGCCCTTTGGGTATTAGTGCAACATAAGCCTGAGCACAGAGCAGACACCTGTCTGGAAGAGGGTAACAAATGGCTTGCTTTCTGCCTATCAGGGTTGTACTCTGAAGGCCATTTTTTCTATTCTCAAAATCATGATGGATATTTGGCAGTTCATTAAGACCTGTTTCTGGGCTCAGCGCCTGTGGCTCAAGTGGCTTATAAGGCGCCAGCCACATACACCTGAGCTGGCAGGTTCAAATCCAGCCTGGGCCTGCCAAACAACAATGACGGCTGCAACCAAAAAATATCTGGGTGTTGTGGTGAGACTTGTAGTCTCAGCTGCTTGGGAGGCTGAGGCAAGATAATTGCTTGAGCCCAGGAGTTGGTGGTTGCTGTGAGCTGTGACGCCACAGCACTCTACCCAGGGCGATAGCTTGAGGCTCTGTCTCAAAAAAAAAAAAAAAAAAAAAAAGGAAAGAAAAAAGACCTGTTTGTGGCTGGGAGCAGGCCTTGATTGGTCTTTAGTACTCACAGGTGTTTTTCTGGGCTCAATCCTGCTGTTTCTTGCCATATAAGATACTGGAATGCTTTACAGATGCTATACCCTGTCAGTATTTTAACATGTTGACTGCCACATGAGAAAATGAAATTCTTTTCTTGGGGCTGCAGAGTTTTATTAGGTCAAGATAGATCAAGAGATGGGTAAGTTATATATGCTTCATGAGGTCCTGGGCTCAAAACTAGTGTAAGTTAAATACAACTCCCATTGTAGTTAATGTGTTGAGAGTCTTGCCTGTTGCCAGGCATTAAGCCAGAGCTGATTATTTAGTAACAGACTGACTATATGCTAGCCTATGCTGGGTGTCAGCTTACGTTAAAATGTTCTTTCCTTGCTTTAAATGCTGCAAAAAAACACAATCCCCTTCTGATGGATGAAATGTTGCCTGTTGGGAAGAAGAGCTAAGGAAAGCAGTAAGGATCCAGGTGTTAGCTTTTGTTGAACTCCATATGTGGGTCGGGGTCCCTCCCCAGCTCCCATGACTGTGAAGCACCAGAGTGATGACTTCATCTCTTTTGCTCAGTGACCAGTCCCCTCCACATGTGGCCTTTTTAAAGCCACTCAGGTTTCACACATAAAATTTAAAATAGAAATGTTAAGAAAATCTGCCTAAATAAAAAGTATACAAGGAACTTGTATAACATGATGCTGTTGTAAATTCATTTTTAAGGTATGAAGAATCAATTTGAAATGTGTAGTTCTCCCTCCAAATTTATGTAAACAAATTTTCCCTGTTTTAATATTGCCTATGTAGGAATGTACCTTATTACATTTTTGTCAGTGTAAATGGAACCTAGAGCCAGTGAACAACCGAACAGATAATCCAGCTCTCTGTTTTGGTTCTGGATTAATTGTACAAGGATGAAGAGCTGTACTATGGGAAGTTTGGGTCTGATTTTCATTTTCAGGATTTTCTGCTACACGTGAGAAGAATGGAACGGTGAAGTCATTTATCTGTTTCAGGTGAGTAGAAGCCAAAGAAGAATTATTTCTGTTTTCCCTGTGGATGGGAAAATAGAAAAAGTTGCCTGTCAGAGGAAACAAAAGTATTTGCTCTACTAAAATGTCCAAAGACACCCACCCCCACACACCCCATAAAATTTTAGCTGCTGTCAAACTCAGCTAACTAGAAGTTGGAGAGGCATGCAGTTTGAAGTATTGCCTTTTTTCTGCTCCTGCCAAAACTTTTTCATTGCCCGTGATTCTGGTGTGAACACAAAAAATAAAGCCCCTTTTGTATATGATTAGGACAGGTGGTCTGACAGTTGATCAGAAAGGGTAGAAAGATTAGATTTTCACCTAAATCACAGATATATGTATTTATATAATAAATTAATTTTTTTTGAGCCTGAGTTTCACTATGTCACCCTCAGTAGAGTACAGCTATAGCATCACAGCTCACTGCAACCTCCCAACTCTTGGGCTTTTTTTTTAAGAGACAGAGTCTCACGTTATTGCCCTTGATAGAATGCTGTGGTGTCACAGCTCACAGCAACCTCGCTTCCTGGGCTTAGGCTATTTCTCTTGCCACAGCCTCCTGAGTAGCTAGGACTACAGGCACCTGCCATGACATCTGGCTATCTTTTTGTTGCAATTTGGCTGGGGCCAGGTTTGAACCCGCCACCTTCTGTGTATGGGGCCGGTGCCCTACCCACTGAGCCACGGGCACCTCCCCCAACTCTTGAGCTTACGAGTTTCTTTTGCCTCAGCCTCCCAAGTAGCTGGGACTAACTACAGGTCCCCACCACAACATCCAGGTATTTTTTGGTGCACTTACTGTTTAGCAGGTCTGGGCCAGGTTTGAACCTGCCAGCCTCAGTGTTTGTGGCTGGCGCCATAACCACTGTGCTACAGGCACAAAGCCTTTATTTATTTTTGAGACAAGAGTCTCAACCTGTCACCCTGGGTAGAGTGCTATGGTGTCATAGCTCACAGCAACCTTTAACTCTTGGGCTCAAGCTATCCTCTTGCCTCAGTTTTTATATTTTTAGTAGAGACAGGGTCTCGCTCTTGCTCAGGCTGGTCTCCAACCTGTGAGCTCAAGCAATCCACCCGCCTCCGCCTCCCAGAGTGCTGGGTTTATAGGCGTGAGCCACCCGGTAATAAACTAAAATCGAGAAAACTTGCAAGTGGGGACAAGGGCCTTCTTCACAATAGCCATAGTGTGTCTGTAAAAGCTTGGATTTCTTTAAAATGGATAAGGAATTCAGATAGCATGAAGGAATTTGATTTGAGAATTTTAGATTTTTATTCATAATTTCGAGTCTAGGAATTTCACCCATTCCTACATTGACAATAAGTTTTACAGGTGAAATGCAGTCTGATTTCATATAGCTATTCACATTCATTTCATTGGCTTAAATATAATAGTTAAAATATAGTTAATATAACAGGCTGACTAGTATGTGATTTGGATCAAATATCACTCAACGAGCGAGAATTTAAGAGCATGCAACAAGTGCTCAGCTGGCCAAAACTGAAGGAATGTACAGGGAGAGCATATTAAGAGAGTGTCTACTGTTTTAAAACTACTTGGTCCAGCTCTTGCAAGACTTATTTAGCCCCTAGGAGATGGCCACTCTTCAAGATGTTCCATAACTTCTGGAGTTCTAATTCACTGACAAGTTAAGGCACACCTGGAATTTTGTTCATTTAATGCAGAGTTGATCACCTATCACACTCCCTGTTAGGGTGACCATGTAGGATGTAAGCAGCAAGTATCCCTGTTTCACAGGTATGGAGATTAAAAAGCTTATCTTTCCTGGGCGGCACCTGTGGCTTAAAAGGGTAGGGCACCGGTCCCATATGCCGGAGGTGGCCAGGTTCAAACCCAAACGCAACCACAGCCAAAAACTGTAAAAAAAAAAAAAAAAAAAGCTTATCTTTCCTATATGCACTCCCAGGAGAGGCAGACTAGACAGACCTAGGCCTTGGTACTATAAGGAAGAGCTATTCCTCTGATTGTTGCTTTGCTAGTTCCTTGTCCAGAGATTGCTTTTTAAACTTGAGACAGGTTTTATTCTTGTCACCCAGTCACCCAGTGGTGCAACCATAGCTCACTGTTGTCTCAATCCTGGGCTCAAGTAATCCTTTCACCTCAGTCTCCCAAGTAGCTGGGACTAGGTTGGTCTCAAACTCCTGGGC